GGAATCGAACCCCCCGCAGGGGAGGCAGGGGGACCTGGAATCCACATCTGCAGCCCTGCTTCCCGGGATCAGCCAGGTGGCTCCTGTGGGCGCCCCCTAGGTCCACAGCCCGGTGTCCCTCTACCTTCTGGTGGCAATGGCCCTCAGTGTGATGGTGGCTGGGATCTCACGGTTCTAGAATCTAAGGACTGGGCAGACCCAGCCCCGCCCAACATAGGGTCAGTCCTTTCTTCTTTTCAATAAGGCAGGAGTTGACTTCTGTTTGGAATCTCACGCAATCATGACTCCAGAGCGGAGGGAAAAGTGGCCTCATGAACCCACGTCCAGGGAATGGACACAGGCTCAGAGAGGCTGAGCGACATGCCCAAGGTCCCTGGACCACTGAGGGGCAGGCCTGGGATCTTTGGCTTCAACTTCAGGGGTGCGTCCACTCTACCCATCTGGGCTGCAGAGAGAGCAGGTTCAGCCTCCTGGGGGAGTGAGTCAGTCCCTCACGCACTTGATTCCATGGTGCACTTGGCCCCGAGAGGGATGCGTCTGATCCAGGGAAGGACCACAGTGACCAGGGCCCTAGCGCCGGCTCTCCGCCCAGCCTTCCCCGCCTGTCTGCCTGTTGCCTTGGTCTCACCATCTGCAAGATGCAGGGAACAGGGTGAGGTCAAGATTTCCTCGCAGCGCGGATTTCAGGTGCACCAGTCCCTCGTGGTGCATTGGGACGGAGGATCATCGGAAAAGTGAGTTTGTGAAATGGTGCAAACTCTTCTCTCAGGAAAGCCCAGGGCAGTTTTGCATATTCAGGCATCTTTGTAGCTTTCCCGCAGAAAGCCCAGTCTTAAAAAAAGCAGAGGTGGTGGTGTGGGTTGGGGGAGGGGAGGTAATTGTGTTTTCTAAACACGTTAGATTGCCCAAGCCTTTAAAAAAAAGTGGAGTTTGCACAGAAGGGTCTTTGGAAAATGCTGGATCAGCACACTTCTCAGCCCCCATCCAGTAGGCACCGCCTATGCGCTACCTTCGTTTTACCTTCCCGGGCAGAGGTCATGCCACACAGGGAAACCCAGAAGCCAACCTGCCAGGCACACACCAGTGACGGAGGAACCGGCAGCCCGGGGTGAGGCTCCTCTGATCCACCTCCCACACGGCCTGTGGTGGTGGCTGTTCAGCCGCCCGGTTGTGTCTGACTCTTTTCGACCCCACAGACAGCAGCACACCAAGCCTCCCTGTCCCTCACCATCTCCCAGACTCTGCCCAAGTTCATGTTCTTTGCATCAGTGATACCCTCCAGCCATCTCATCCTCTGGCACCCTCTTCTCTTTCTGCCCTCAGTCTTTCCCAGCATCAGGGACTTTTCCAATGAGTCGTCTGTTCACATCAGGTGACCAAAATACTGGAGCTTCAGCATCAGTCCTTCCAGTGAATATCCAGGGTTGCTTTCCGTAAAGATGGACTGGTTTGACCTCCGTGCTGTCCAAGCAACTCTCAGGAGTCTTCTCCAGCACTCCCTAGTACCCTGACCCCAAATAGGGCACCTGAGCAACCTCACTTTGTTAGGGGCTGACACTCTGACGCCGCATCCTGTTTGTTTTGGGGTGTGTGTAGCTTCCTTGGCCATGTTTGGGGTCCTTTCTCAGAGGCCCCTCAGAAACCGGAAGCTGCCTGGTACAAGTGCCATTGAGACGGGGCAGCGTGACTCTCGGGCCTGCTGCATCTTCGAGAGAGGGTTCTCCCGGGGACAGAGCTCTTACCTGGGTCCCCCACCTTAGGATGACAGGCAAACATCTCCCCCTCTGCTACCTTCCTGAGCTGATGGTGCCACCAGGAACTTGTAAATTTGACTCTCGACTTCCCAGTTGGGTTGAAAGGGGGTACGTGAGAGCCCCAGAGTACTGCTGGGCATCGCTTCACAGGCTCGTTGGCCATTTGTGTGTGTTTTTTTTGACAAACGTCTCTCTAGATCCTTTGACAGTTTGAAAATAAGGCTGTTTCTATTACGGAGTTATGTGAAATCTTTATATACTCCAGAGAGGAGTCCCTTATCAGAGATATGACTTGCAAATATCTCAGCTGGTAAAGAATCTGCCTGCAATACGGGAGACCTGGGTTCAATCCCTGGGTTGGGGAGATCCCTGGGAGGAGGGAAAGGCTACCCACTCCAGCATTCTGGCCTGCAGAATTCCACAGACTGTATAGCCCATGGGGTCATAAAGAGTTAGACACAATGGAGTGACTTTCACTTCTACCCTGTGGGTGGTCTTTTCACTTTCTTGAAGGACAAACAATTTCATTTTGATTTTGTCATTGCTGTTCAGTCGCTAAATTGTGTCCAACTCTTTGTGACACCATGGACTGCAGCACGCCAAGCTCCTACGTCCATCGCTATCTCCTGGAGTTTGCCCAGATTCATGTTCATTAAGTCAGTGATGCTGTCCAACCATCTCATCCTCTGCCACCATGCCCCCTTCTCTTTTTGTCTTCAATCTTTCCCAGCATCAGGGTCTTTCCCGATGAGTCGGCTCTTCACACCAGGTGGCCAAAGGATTGGAGCTTCAGTTTCAGCATCCGTCTTTCCAATGAATATTCAGGCTTGATTTCCTTTTAGGCTTGACTGGTTCGATCTTGCAGTCCAAGGGACTCTTAAGAGTCTTCTCGAGCACCACAGTTCAAAAGCATCAGTTCTTTAGCACTTGGCCTTCTCTATGGTCCAACTCTCACATCTGTACATGACTACTGGAAAAACCATAGCTTTGACTGTACAGACCATTGTTGGCAAAGTGATGTCTCTGCTTTTTAATACACTGTCTAGGCTGGTTATAGCTTTCCTTGCAAGGCACTAGCGTCTTTTAATTTCATAGCTACAGTCACCGCCTGCAGTGATTTTGGAGCCCAAGAAAATGAGGCTGTCACTGTTCTCACTTTGATGACTGCTTCATTTCACTCGGTGTTTCCCTGGTGGCTCCGCTGGTAAAGAATCTGGCTGCAAAGCAGGAGACCTGGGTTGGGAAGAACCCCTGGAGAGGGGAACGGCTACCCACTCCTGTATTCTGGCCTGGAGAATTCCATGGACAGAGGAGCCTGGCAGACTAGTCCATGGGGTCACAATGAGTTGGACATGACTTCAGAGACTTTCACTTTCACCTTTCATTTTGATGACGTTCAGTTTAACGTCATTTTTCTCTTGTTGCTGTAGTTCTTGGGAAGATTTTATTGAAGACTGTTTCACAGGTAAACACAGGCAGAAACCGCTGGCTTCATGGAGGACAATGAGGGTCTTCCATCTGGTACCCCGGCTGTGAGCTCAGAGCCCCGCCTCCCAGCCCCTTCTGAGGTCCCGACCACCTGACCTGGCCCCCTCAATCCCATCGTCTGCCTGATATTTGTCTCTGCACGTCTGGCTTCCTCTGTGGCAGGGGATTCCCTTCCTTCTTTGTTTTTTTGGAGGCAAACTCATTCATCCATCTACATATTTTCTAAGAGACACCCGGCACTATTTCAGTTCCTGGGAATACAGTGGCAAAACCAAAACAAAGAAGCCAGGATCCCTCAGCCTGCTGGAGCACCGTCTCCAGAGGTGGAGGATGGTTGGAGTTTCCTGCTTTTGGAAGAGCTTCCCCTTGATACTGACCGGGGCTCCTGGCCTCCTTAATCGATAAAAATTGATCAGAGGCCGGACAAGAAATTCAGGCAAGACTTTACTGGGGCCCCTGCTACAGCCAAGGGCAGTGAGAACATGTAATGGTTTCCCTTGCTCTCTCCCTGAAGGGGGGTGAGCTGGTTCCTTACGTGGGGTGAGGGTGGGGATGTGTCCAGAGGTCGGGCCGCCCACCCCTTTGGTGGTGCTGTGTGTGGGGGGCTCACGCACAGCACCCTGCTTTTGCTTCCGACCCCCAGCTTTGGCTCCTGGCTCTTCAGAAGTGACAGCTGGGCTTCTTCTTTCTTTTTGTACCTTGTTGTCTGTAATTTGCCCCAGAGCCTCCCGCACATGGTTGTTTTCGGTCCCTGGCCGTTTCTTCGTATTTTGCTGCTGGAAGAAACCTTTGTCCAGGTGGAAGCCCCCGCGGCACACGGTGCGAGGTCCTGGCCGGCCTCGTCCTGACGCCCCTCCCTCCCCCCTCCATGCAACCTGGTCAGTGTCACCGCCACGCTGGGCACATGTTCAAGCAGCAACTGCATCTCTCACCGCAAACGTTTTTATTTTTATTTCTTTTGTTAGTGAGCTTCCCTATTAGATCATGTCTTTCTTGAGGAGAAGGACCACTCAGCCATCTGGGAGTCCCAGAGCCAAGTTCCTGGCAACACAAGGATGGCTGTTGCTTGCTGTCTGTTTGCCAGGTTGGCACTGAGCTCTGTCCACTTCTGATTCCTCATGGATCCGGTCAACTGAATGCACATGTTTTTCTCCGAGGCTCATTGATCACGTCTTGGGCCCCTATGCTGGTGCGCTCCTGGAGAAACTCTATTTGCTCTAAGATGGAACCTGTCATTACAAACATTATTTTATTTTTTTTTAATTTTTATTATTATTTTTTTACAAGCATTATTTTAAAAATAAAACGAAAGTGTAAAATAAGGCTAAATATGTTTGAAAAAACTCTCCGACAAGCCAAGGTTCAAACTACGTTTTTGAGTTGGATGGTCAGATAAATGAAATTTGCATCATTCCTGTGAAAAGTCATTCATCTTTGAAGCATTCAACTTACTCACAGTACTTCAGATGGCTGATTAAAATAGATATCCAGCCTCTGCTATTTTAATTACACAGAGTCAGAAGGAGCATAAACCATGTCAAGGAAAGAGGCGTTTGTGAGCCATGCCTGTCAAAATGTTCTGGTGGGGATTCGTGGAATCCAGGAGGCCTCGTTGCCGATGGGCTGGTGACGCCAGCTGGAAGCCGGGATTCAAGTGCACAGCTAAGCCCTCTACCCATTTTTCAAGAAAATTCCTTAACAGACGACGGGAAAATTGTTCCTTCTGTCCCGTGAGCAGTTGTGGAATGATGGCCCTAGGACAGCCCTAGGAGCTTGCAGACCCAGGGAGAGGAGGACTTCCTGGGTCGATGGGTGGACATGGAGACCAGCTTTCAGAGCTCCACTGTGACTGCAGGATTTAGACAACGCATGGTCATCTGGGCAGCTTGGGTCTGTCTCTTCCTAGAACTGGCTGAGCTGGTGTTTGCCCACTGCGCGGCTGCATTCAAGCCCGGCAAACCAACGAAAACCAGGTACATACCCCCCAGGGGCCTCCAGCTGGAGGACGAGGGGGACACACAGGTGAATTCTCTCCAAGTCATGGGCGCCTCTAGGAAGGGCAGCTGGTCCCCAAGTGGTGCTTTTCTGAGTCTGTCAGAGCGAGGGCTGTTAGATTCCTTCAGAGCGTGGGCATCTCAGCCTCAAAGAAAGCTCCCACATCCATAACCTGCTCACTCAAACTCAGACAGGGCCAGGAATGGGCTCAGCATGATGCTTTAAAATTCTAGGATCTCCAACAAGGGATTAATAGTCAACATATATAAACAGCTCATAGAACTCAACATCAAAAGCACAAACAACCTGATTAAAATACGGGCAGAAGAACTGAATAGATGGTTTTCCAAAGAGGACATGTAGATGGCCTCTGAGCATTTGAAAAGATGCTCACCATTGCTAATCATCAGGGAAAGGGAAAGTAAAGTCACGTTCTCATACCTGTCACATGGCCATCGTCAAAAGGAGCACAAATAACAAACGTTGGTGAGGATGTAGAGAAAAGGGAACCTCTTACACTGTTGCTGGGAGTGTAAATTGGTGCAGCCACAGTGGAAAAGAGTATGGGGGTTTCTCAGAAAACTAAAAACAACTACCATATGACTGAGCAACTCCACACTTGGGTGTATATTTATCAGGGGAAAAAACCATAAATCCTAATTTGGAAAGATGCATGCACCCCAATGTCCATAGCAGCACTATATTTACAATAGCCAAGACATAGATTGTAATTCTAATTGTGGCAATCTAAGTGTTCACCAACAGATGAATGGATAAAGACGGTGCAGGGAATATGTCCAAAAGAACACTACTCAGCTATTAAAAAGAATGAAATTATGCCATTTGGAGAAGACATGATGAAGTAAGGCTTATGCAGCAGAGCGAGAGGATCTGCTTTCCCGGAGCCTCATGCACCCCGTGGGCTGGGTGACCGGACGTCGATGCTGCCTGGCATCCAAAGTCCTGAGGCCACACCCATGCAGTGGGTGTGCTGGAGTTTTCTCTGGAGTCACCAGTGTAATCAGGCCTCTGGATGCATGTCAAGGTCCCTCTTAAAGCCCTTGCGCTCATCTTGTGGTGTTCGGCATGTCCGTGGCCAGGCAGCAGCCAGGAGTAACTAGGGACCTTAGTAAATCTCTCTCCCAGATGGGGGTGGGCTGCAGACAACTGGGGGCCCTGGCTGGGGGCGGGGAATCAGGGTCAGGGGTGGGAACCCAGGGGACAGTGTGGACCTGGGGATGAATTGGAGGAGGGGGGAGCTGACTCGCCCCCCTGGCTGCTTCAAAGAGAACTGCAGGGCACAGAGGTTACAGAGGGCCGGGGAAGCCCTGGCAGGGGGGCAGGGACCAGGTTCTGGGCGCCATCCCCCCCTTGCTCCTCTCCTAAAACTGGGCTCTGACCCGCCCTGCCTGCTGCCGCTGTTGGAACTGACAGATGAGAGCGCAAGTGACGGTCTGGCCGCCGTGCTGGCCCGGCGCGCTGCCCTCACTCCGCGTGGACGGTCAGGCGCTGGGCTAGATCGGGGCTCACCCCGCACCTGTCACCCACGGCGGGGAGTTGCCCCGGCCCTGCGTCTGTCTCCTCCATGACAGAACCTGTGGGCTTGAATGCCCCATAGAGCGCGTGTCTGGTGGGACCCTGCATGGGCCTCAGAGGACCGTGGACTGTCGCCTTCAGCTTCCCAGGGACCCTGCACAGCCTAAAAGCCTCCTGAGTCCCAGGGGCCGAGAAGGCAAGGCCAGCAGCCAGAGGAGGGGACTGGTAGTGGGGGAGGCTGGGCGCGGACTACACCTCTGAGGGGCCAGTGGCTGTGGCCCAGGGGCGCAGCTGCTGCGCCGCATGTGGAATCTTTCCGAAAAAGAGATCGAACCCATGCTCCCTGCATTGGCAGGCAGACTCCCAACCACCAGGAAGTCCTCAAAGGAGGTTTTTAAGAAGAACGCACAAGCTCTCCCAGTGCCATCATCCACCTGAGGCAGTTTTGTTCTCACCTCTGAGCTCCTGTCCGTTCCCCCCTCCAGTTCTGGCTCTGCTCGGTGTCACAGGCAGGGCTTCCCGGAGGGGAAGGATGCCGTTCCTGTTGTGGGAGGATGCCTTGACCCAGGGAGAGGGCACACAGATGGAGCTACCTTAGTGGGCTCCTCCAGGGGCCAGGCTGCGCATGAGTTGGTCCAATCTGGAGGTTCAAGATGTCCTGGAAGAAAAGACACTTGCATTCAGGCTTCAAAAGCAGTTGAGAGCTTGCCCGGTGAGAGAGATGGAAATACATTTGGGACAAAGAGACTGACATGAACAAAGCACAGAATCAACACTGGAGTCTGGGCATCATATACTCCTTGGCATGAGAAAAGAGGGCAGGACAAGACAGCGTGAGACCCCCCGCCCCGCCCCGAGGGGCAACCCCAGGGCAGTTCCTATCTCTGTTTCCCACATGGGAGTTCGGTCCAGTGTTGGCTCATCATTATATTTTTAGGAGAAACTAGAAATCTGGCCATCCGTGTGAAATCTCTGGACTTCTAAATGTTACCCAACAATTAGAATCAAAAATAAAATGTAGGCCAACCAAAACGTGTCTTCAGGTGAAACTTACAGTCTGGGCAATTTTGCCTCCTAGATCTTGTCTTTGCATTTAGAATTGTAATTATAGTACACGTGCAATTTCTCCCCACTTACCATGTCATGAATATTTTCCATGTTTATGTAATCTTTTAAAAGCCATTTACAATGGTTACATAATGTTCTGAACATGCCACGATTTGCTTTACGTTTTCCTCCTGTTAGAAATCAAGGTTTCGGGGAGGAGTTTTAGATTTGTTCCCACCCTGGTTTATCGCTGCGTTTCCCTCAGGTGGGAGCGCGGAGGAGGAGACATGGAGAACCGTCAGATGTGCCTCCCTGCCCCTCCTGAGAGCCTCGGGGATCTTGAGCAAGAAGGGGTTAAGGATCGTTTGTGCCCTTTCTTTTTGTTTGTCAGGCCTTGTTCAAGGTTCCAAGGCAAAAGTATAATCCTTTTACAGTGAAAATGACTGAATTTCACTAAAACACATTAAGGAAAAGTTAAAGGATCATTATTCTTTTTTGTACTGGAACTAAACTGAATCTATAGACAATTTCGGGGAGAACCAACACCTTTATGATATTGGGTCTTTTATCCAAAATGTGCTACTTATAGACACATCTTGGTTGCATTTACTCATCGGTTGTTGAAGTATATGTACATATTTTTGTTTGTTTTTATTGATATTATAAGTGGCACTTGTAAAACTTGTGTTTTATAACAAATTGTTGCTGCTTTGTTAGAAATGCAGCTTAGCTTTGTGTATTGGTTTTGTATACACATACTTCATTTAGCTCTCTTATTCCCAGTATTTTGGGTTTTCTATGGAGACAACATTTCCATCCACAACTAATAACAAATTTCTACGTTGCTTCCCTTATGTTTCTTTTTCATGTCTTATTGTGTAGGTTAGGACCTTGAGTTTGATGTTATATAGAAGTGTATGCTTAATCTTAAAAGGAGTTCTTTCAGCATTTTTCCATTAAATATGATGATTTCTGTAGATGCTTTTGATAGATGCTCTTTATCATATTAAAGAAGTTCTCTTCTACTCCTGTTTTGCTAAGATTTTTTTAAACCATGATTTGTTGTTGTTGTTGTTTGATCACTAAATCATGTCCAAACTCTTTTTGATTCCATGGTTTGCAGCATGCCAGGCTTCCCTGTCCTTCACTGTCTCCTGGAGTTTGCTCAAATTCACGTCCATTGAATCAGTGAAGCTATTTAACCGTCTCATTCTCTGTCGCCCCCTTCTCCTCCTGCCTTCAATCTTTCCCAGCATCAGGGTCTTTTCCAATGAGTCAGCTCTTCATATCAGGTGGCCAAAGTATTGGAGCTTCAGCTTCAACATCAGTCCCTTCATGAATATTCAGGGTTGATTTTCTTTAGGATTGCCTGGTTTGAATTCCTTGAAGTCCAGGGAACTCTTAGGAGTCTTCTCTAGCACCACAGTTTGAAAGCATAAGTTCCTTGATGCTCAGCCTTCCTTATGGCCAAACTCTCACATCCATATATGACTACTGGAAAGACCTTAGCTTTGATGATATGGATCTTTGTCCAGAAAAACATTCCAGAAAACCATGATTGGATATTTAATTTTATTGACCGCCTATTTTTGCATTTATCACAATTTGTTTTTCTCTTTTGATCTCTTATCATGGTAAATTACATTATTAGGTTGTCTAAACCAATCTTGTATCATTGAGATAAACCCAACTTAAATGCGACTTATTATTAAATATTTAGGACTCTAAATTTCCTTTTAAGTATTTATATACTATGTCTAGCTTATTCATATAATGAAATGCCATATATAAGTGGCTTAAATAGAAATTTATTTCTCACAGTCTTGGAGGTCAGAAAATTTGATTCCTGGCGAGAGTTTCCTTCCTGGTTGCAGGTAGCAGCTTTCTTGGCATGTCCTCATGTGATAGACAGAGAAAGAGCTTTGGATTCCTCCTCTTCTTACAGGGTACAAAGCCCACATGGGCTGCCACCTTCACAATCTCAGCTAAAAATCCTAATTACTTCCCAAAGGCCCATCTCTAATCACACCGGAGGTTGGGGCTTCAGCACATACATTCAAGAGAGACTCCAACATTTAGGCAGGCTGCATCTGATAATTTGTGATATGGAATCTTTATTTTAAAAAATCACTCATTTCTAGGCATTTAAAAAATTTCATTATGAAAAAAATTTTTTGAAATTAAAAAAATTAGACAAATGAAATGAAAAAAATGAAGAAAATTTTAATTTTTTTCCCTTGAATCCTTTAGATGCATGTTTTCTAATTTGCAAACATATTTTTTTCCTGATTGTTTTTTTGCTACTGATTTCCAATTTAAGCTCACATAGATCACAGAATGTGGTCTGTAGGCCCCAAAGTAGGTGAGGTTAGTATTATGGTCTAGTACATAATTA